TTTATAAATAAAATAAATTTTGTTTAACTCCATTTATTTGTTTACTTCCTTGCAATGAAATTGTTATGAAAATTGATGTTTGCATATTTCTACAACGAATGGATATGATTCTTAGTTATGTTATTTATGGAAACGTCGAGAATTTACCAAATAGGGAGAGTTTCTCATCGCCCAAAGTTTCAATTGGACAAAAATTTGGAATCACGCAACTTGGTTGCATGATGAATGAGAAATTTCGTATTTGGAAATTAGACTAATTCATTGACAAAGTGTCAAGTGAAGGATTAGGAGATCGAGTACACAAAGTTGTGTGTTGATCAAGTTCACCATAAGAGTAACAAATATATTCGTCATGATTTACTAAAGGCTTAGTAAATATGATTACACTTACAAGATTAAGTGTAATTCTGAATTGATTAAAGGGTTTAGATCAATAGTAGAACGAATAAGAAGAATCAAGTAGGCAGAAAGATAAAAGTTTCTCCATTCTAAGAAGAAGGGAGAGTAGCTTTTATGCTTTATAATGGGTCTTAATGATTAAGAACCATATCTCAATTGATCCTCTAAGTAAGTCTTAGTACTATTGTATGAGGTATCAAGGATTGAAGAAATGGTTAAATCAAGAAGTCTATCATACTTCGTTCCAATAACAAGTCTTAAAGTTAAGATTGTGACAATGAGTGAAAAGTATTAAAGGTTTATAACATTCATCAAATGTGGAAAGTTGTGATGTCTTGAATAAGACAAAGACCGACTAGGACCAATTTATGAAGTGTTTTGATAAAAACTACACTAACTCTTGAATATTTGTATTGACAAAAGAATCTTATATGTCAAGGAGTCAGTGGGAGTCTTAATGGTCTTGAAAGGTTTCAAGAACAAATCAAATAAACCTTATCGATCATCACTAGCACACGAGTTGAGGTTTACAACCTATCGTGAAGACATTATTTTGTTTCTGTGCCAATCCAATCGAGTTAATTATGCATGTGAGTCCTATGAGTTCTCATTTGAATGCATAAAAGGCAAGGGCCTTGATCAATGGAAAGTACATTGATAGGAAAAGGTGAGCTGCTTAACTACTTGGAAGACGTGGTGGGCAGCTGTGCTACCATAAGGCAAGAAATCAAGATTAAGAAAGTTCGATCCATATGAGTTTGAATTTGTCGTAAACTTTGGTTTTTAACAAATTCACATGGATAGGAACACATACACCGTTTAAATCTAAGTGTCATAAGATTTCCTCCTTCATGAAAATGATTGTGAGAAAATGCTTTCACTAAGAAAGATTTTAAGAAGATAGTGATTGTAAAATTGTATTATCGAATTCGATTATGGTTACGGCATCCCTTTCCATAATTTGAGGTTTGACAATTAGTCTTAATTGTTTAGACACACATATGAACTATCGAAGGCAAAGGTGTATAAGTTCAAGAAGCCTTGATAAAAGATTATCAAAGCACTAAGTATTAGAAACATGAACTTAAGAAATTCAATAAGTATTGTTTTTCTGAAAGTTAAGATGTTTATGAATACATGTCAAAGCTAGTGGGAGCATAAGTGTTATGTTTTATAATAATCATCATGATAGTGGGAACATAAATGTTATGATTGTATGATTATTAAGGCATGTATTGCATAGTTGGCAATATTAATTATAGAAAACAAGAGTCATACTTTGCAAAGTTGTAAGAGTTGAAAGGTTGTTTTGCTATAATTAAGGGAGAGAATATTATGCTTCGTTTCAAATCTAAAGGATTAGGTTGAGAAATGTTAATAAACTTAGTCAAAGGTACATAGTGTGTTCTTAAAGTTTCGATTATGATTACGGCATTCCTCTTCACAATTCGAATTTTGAGAACATAGCAAATAAAACATTATGCGTTGTGTCCCATACGCTTCGGGTATAGGATCGATTGCAAATGATTTAATGTTTGACCATTCTAAAATTTTCCAAATGTCTAGCGCATTTAGAGGGAAAAGGGACTAGAATCGGTTTTGACTAAAATAATTAAACAACTATCAAAAGACAATCCAAAGTTCGACGAGGATTGGTTGCTTGTGAGTAGTTGGAAGCATGGTATTGAATGGACCATATTGACATTATGATGAATAGAAAAGATTCTATTAAAAAATGAGTTGTCATATGGAACATATGGAAGCGTGTCCATACTGGGAAGTAAATATTGAAAATTTATGACTAGATTAGAAACCTTTATGCAAAAGGATGTTCAAAGGAATGTACTTTGAGTGAGAGACATCATATCTAAGAAATTGTCTTGTAACAATCTCCGATAGAGGACTTTGTAATATCATTGGCAATAGTCTTTGTGACTTTGGTGCAGTGACATTACGAGAGAATCATTGCATAGGATGTTAGAATCTAGCATATTCTATAAGTAGCAAGAATTTGATATTCGTTCACTTATGAAAAAGGATTTGGAAGTTGTGAAATGAGAATGATTGGAAACGTGTTCAATGTGATCTATTTCACAAAGTAAGAACCATAGGTAAACATTGTGTGCATGCTAGGAGCATGGGACAAGTGTAATAATTCAAGTAAGAAGTTGATTACCCGAAACGACAAATAATGAGTAATCGATATGGTGATAAATAAAACGTGTTTTATTTATGCTCAAAGGGTTGAGGCCATATGGGATTAGTATTATTCTTGTGTTTCACTTTGCATGTTTTGACTTCCAGAATAATTGAGTTTATTAAGAATAATCGAATTATTCAAACGGGCCACAGTCGTTCATATGTTGGAAGTAGATATGAATGAAGACTGTCGTGAATTGGTGTGTGGATTGTCTAAAAGAGTATTAGACATAAGCAAATGTTTGCTGCAACGTTCATGAGTGCTTATGAATATGATTTGAGCATTGGATTAAACCCATGCTCACTTGGATCACTCCATGGATTATATCACGAGTGATTAGTGAGACGATAACATCTTATATTCTTGAAACCGAGATGTGTGAGTTGTATCTTGCTAATCGGTTGCACATTGATAATATGTAAACGCACTAGTAACTTGGTGTTATAAAACATATTGTTGTGTGTGATTTGGTTAGTGAGTGCAAGCAAGCATTGTATCAAAGTTTATCCGTTCCTTTTATCCAAAGAAGGATAAAAGCGATATCTTTGGGCCCCTCGATGGTTTAGTGATGACAAACGTAAATGCTCGGCCGGGCTAGGGCTAATTTGATTTGTTCAATTAGTCTGTCGTCATAAATCAGAAATCGAGATATAGTACAAAGAGAATGATTAAAAATCATATCTCAGATGATATCTAGAATGGAGGAATATATGATCCCTTATCTAAGGACACGCGTATCTGATAGAATCAGAGTTGACACGGCTTTGGAAAGCTACGATTGCAGATCGGATCTGAAGTCATACGCATAATAGTTATTAGACTTATCCAAGTGGGAGACTGTTGGATTAGTGTCTAAGTCCATAACTATTTTGGTATGTACTTGACCCGATGGTGCATGGTCCTTTTGGGTTGCCTTCACCAAAGCAACTTGATAGGATGAATTATGGAGAGAAAGGATTAAATATGATTTATTAATATATTATGGGAATAATATATTAAAGGAGAAATCATATTGTTTAATTAATATTAGTCAATAATTAATTGGTAATTAGTTTTGTGACTAAAAGAGATTAATTAAACTTAAGGGACTGGAATTGTAATTATAAGATAATTGCAATTTGGGCCATGGATTGCCTTGTATTAAGGGATGGACGAATTCTAATGGGAAACCCATAAGGAAATCGTCCATGGGCTTAATTAAAGGAGTCTATGGGTTGCTTAGGGCTTAAGCATCCAAATTAGGGTTTCCTTGTTAGATAACCCTAATAGCCCAACTATATAAAGACCCCTTAAGGCTCAAAAACGTGGCTAAGCTTCTTGTAAGGGTTTACACACGTTTTGGCAGCCTCCAACCTCTCTCCTCTTCATCCTCTTGCTTATGGTGTTTGTGAACCATTAGAGGAGTGACACTTGTGACTCTAAGCATTCCAAAGTCAATACAAGGAGATTTGGGATTGTTATTGCTACATAACAATCAAGGTATGATCTTAAACCTAATTACATGTTAATATGATTACTTGCATGCTAGAATTAGGGTTTATAGTCTTGGATTCAAAGCATGTACAATAGAGAAACCTAGATCCAAGCATTAGGATTTGTATGAGCACATAGGATGTCTTATGACCAAAACCCATCACTATCAATGTCTTAATTGGTGTATTTACTATGTATTATGTTGTCTCCTTTTGTCAAGTGAAATGAATTAACAAGTTTATGTTTATGTATGAGTCATAAGTACTTCCAGTGTAATCATGAGTGAATAGAATGGATAAACAATGAATGGAATCATTAATGAGTTGAATAAATAAACAATAGAATGAATATAGAATATAATCAAACATGCTTAATAAACAATGGAATCAATATTGATTGGAATCATTTAACACTGGAATAATGCATGACCGGAATCAAGTATGGTTGTAATCATGCATGACCGGAATCAAGTATGGTTGGAATCAAACATGGTTGGAATTCCAGTTAACTTAACAATGTAATTAATCACAACATTAACATACACATAGAATCAAATCAAACACAACATTACCATACACAATATAATCAATCACAACATAAACATACACAATTTAATCAAATTAAAGATACATTAACCATGTTTATCATAAAACATGTAATATTAACCAAATCCAAAAGTTTGAATGGCTAGTTGTGTAAATGCCCAAAACATAATCAAGGGGCCCAAAGCCTATACTTTATATGGCTATCGACAAAAGGGGCTATCAGCAGTTGCCCAATGCCAAAAATTTGTACATGTTCTTCACAAAAACATGGGTTAGAAACACCCTAATCTAGACTAAGTGGGTTGGATGAACTCATCCCCTTCCCATTTTTGACAACCACCACTTTCTTCAATTGTATTTTTGTTATCCTCTGTGAAGGCTTCCTATTTCTCAGTTTTGGCCTCCTGCCCATGTCCTCCACAACCAGGTCGTCTTGTTCTATCTCCTGTACACCCATACCATTCTCATCGATTCCCTCCTGATACATCCCTTATACACCCATTTCATCCTGATTCATGCCCTCTTGATCCATACCTTCTGGTTTCATGACCTCCCCACATATGCCCTCTATACCTATATCCTCTTCAATGACTTCCTCTGAATCCATACCCCCCTGATTCATCATCTCCAAACCCAAATCCTTTTCATTGATTCCATCATCATTGCCTCCATTTACATTGATTCCATCTTCATTTCCTCCATCCACATTAATTCCCTCCTGGTCCATCACTTATACACCCATTACAATTGGTTGACTTTCAGAGACTGTTTCTACAGTCAATTGGCTAGTAAATCCAAAACCATGTAACAAGCATATCAATATATGGTTAGGCATACTAAACATAATAAATTAAAATTACTTTCTAAACCATACACATGATATATCAAGCTCCACAGGTACATGTTTTAGACCCTCAAATTCATATAATTATTCCTCATTGATTCCAAGACAATCCAAAATCTCTTGTGTAGTGTATTTTGACTGTCTCATGAAATCAATATCACTCCTTACATCCACTCATATTTCATCATCAACTTCACGAATCTCCACATCCCTTGCCTCTTCATTATCACTCTCAGCAATAAGAGTCACCGCATTTTCTTCATCAAGATTAGAAGTTCCCTCACCAAATTTTGTATTCCCTCTCAAACCACATCCAATACCTCTACCTCTCTTGCCTCTTCCTCCAGATCCCCTACCACCACCTCTCTTCCCTCTTCTACTAGATCCACTACCCCACCTCTATCACCTCTTCTAGATCTTGTCCAGTTAGTCAAATCAGGATCCAATTTACGTTTGTCCATTTTCTTTTTAGGTTTTGACTCAGGTACAACTTTTAGATTTTTGCAAGGAGCTTTATTATGTCCCCTTTGAAGACAATTCTTACACTGTACAGTTCTTCCCTTGGAAGAAACTTAGGGGTACTTGTCTTCAGGCTCAAAGACATGTCTTATTCTTTTAACACTAGGTCGTCCTGGTATCCTCCTAGCTGTCGGTGGAAGGGGCTTGGTATATTCAGTTTCTTCCCACAAGTTACTTCCATTGACTGGAAGTATTTTAGACTGATATGTAGCCGTGTAATTACTCTTGCTGAACCAAGTGCTAATGAATTCCTTTGGATCTTGGTTGGTGTATAAGATTGCTACATGTGCATACACATAAGGTATCCTTGCTATTTCCCACAGTCTGCAGTTGTAGTAATGATGTTTCAAATCAACTCCATAACTTTGAAAGCCATTCCTAATTTCATGTGAATTAACACCACTTTCCTGCATTTCCTTGCATTTTAACTTTGGTTTCCGTACTAGTTCTTTCACAAACTACTTTGCTAACCAAGTTGGATTTATAAGCCTTGAACTACTAAAATTCCTAACACATGTATGCCTATCATTCATCTTTTTCATCTGGAATGATTTTTCAGTACTCATCCATGAAGCACGAACCATAAAGGGCATTTTTCTGGATCACTAGCACATACATCCACTAGTCTAACACCATCACACTTCTTGAAACGAATTTTATAACCCTTATAGATGGAATAATTTGTTAAACATAATTTCAGTTGATGTCTAGATTTATACCTTTCTCCAATAATCGGCTTCATCAAATTCCATTTAACTTTCGGATTATGGATGGAGTATACGATTTCATCTTCATCACTATCATCCTCACTAGATATTCAGTGTTTTTCTCATCATCTACTTCCACTCGAGCATTCTTTCCTTCACCTTCCATTGGTTCGTCATCATTGTCTTCATAATAACATTAAGGAATTCATCTTTGCATCTTAAAACTGCTTTGGTTTTTACAAAATCATCGACTTGAACGTCGATTGTGACTGGCTCAAATACTTCATCCATTGCCAAATGAGACGAGCATAATCGATCGATCAATTTGTCGGGAATAAAGGAAAAGATAAAAGGGGTTTTCTTTAATAACCCTAAATTAATGAGGTCAACGATACAGTCACCATTAAAATGCCACGTAATCACTTGTAACCGGCTAAATGAGGGTCACCGGATGATAAGGGCTAAATTGTCTGATTTATCCGGTTTATTAGGCTTTTTCATTAAAAAAAAAAAATAGAACTTTTTTGAAACTTTTGCCAAAATATAGAGACTTTACTATAGATATCCTTTTGTCTCTGGGCAAAATTTATAAAACATCTCCGATGGTAAAGAATTTGAGAGATCAATAACATATAATAAAGTGTTTTCTTCTTTTATCGTTGGAATGGTAATTTTTTATGTCAATATTAATATATTATTAACCATTTAGATTTAACATCTAAAACTTAATTATTAACCTTCAAACCTTTTACCTTATTCAATAATATTTTACTCCCTAATTATATTTAATTATCACAATTTTTGTTACTTTTTTGCATAATCAATTTGTTCTATCTTAAACCTTCAAATCAAAGTTCAGAATAACACAAAAAGAAATCCGCATAAATCACATTTTTGTTGTGCCTTTTGGGCTTTCTATAAGGCCAGTGATATTATTTAATTACTTATTAAGTCAATTACTTCTACTTATTTAGTTTGAATTTAGTTGTTAAGCCAATCACTTTTATAGACAAGAGACGAAGGATTGATACAACAAACACCAACTAAGATAAACAATAACATATTTAATTAAAAGTAGTTTACAATAGAAAAATAAGTGTAGTTACTTGGGAGAATTGAACTACTATAAGTGGAATTGAAGAACACAATCAATTCTATTGGCTTATCTATTTTGTTTCATTAAATAAACTTTTCTTCTGTTGAGTTCAAAGAGTTTGGACTTTGATTACTTAAAGGACTATTTTAAATATTTTGAACTGTTTTATATTTGGATTTATAATCTAGAATAACCTATTTTTTTGAGTAATCCAAAATTTTTCGAGGGGTAACACCGTAACATAAAACAAAAATTTTCAAAATCTTTTATACTACATGACAAATTTTGAGGGTAACCCATACTATCACGGGCTCCTTCATAGGTCTGCTAGGGGTGAATCATAAACCGAAAAACCGCAAAAAAAACTGAAAAATCGAGATCGAAAAACCGAAACCGAACATAAAACCGATGGTTTGGTTCCTACTTTTTCAAAAACCGAAATTTTCAGTTCGGTTTCGGTTTTAGGAATACGAAAACCACAAAATAACCGAACCGCACCGATTGTGAGAACATATGGTGTTCCAAAATTTTGGAATTATTTAAGTTGAGCAATGTTTGTATTAGTAGCAAAACATGAAACATAAAATGATATTAAAATAAAGCAGTGAACTAGGAAATGGAAAAGAAAAAAATTAAATGGTTAGATTTTTACATCAATCAATTTTTTTTATTTTTTTTTTAAATAAGAGCAAACACAAAGCGTTTGTTAATGGTCTGGTGGGAAGTGAAAGAAAGAAAAGAATATATATATATATATATATATATATATATATATATATATATATATATATATATATATATATATATATATATATAATTGATGAATTGATTCCCTATAATGATACGTTAAATATATAAATTAACATTAACTTACACTCATAATTTGTGGGATTAATTTATCAACTTTTATTTTCAAAAAGATAGAACATTGTTATAAGTATATTTTCAATTTGTAAAGGTTAAAATTATATAAGAGATTCGTATAAGAAATTTCATTTGTTTCCTTAGTCCCACATCGCTACAAGTATGAACAGTAGAGTACTATAAAAAGCAATGGTGGAATATCTTTAAGAAGCACATGTGTTTTACATGTTTGAGTCGTATGAAAAGTTTAGGCTTGAAATAGCCTCTAGTTTAAAACTTGTAGTTTTTTTGGCAATTTTAATTTCTAATCGGTTTAGTGTTCTCTAACTTGTTAGAGTTTATTTGATTTGGTCTGAGTTGGATTGAATTTTACAGTATATATTGCAGTTTGGGGTATAAAAAACTGAACCGCATTATTTATAACCGAAAACCCGCAACAGATTTGTTTGGTGCGGTTTTGGTTTCCCTAGATCTGCTTAGATTAAATTCATAATCATTTCTTTTTTTTTTTTTTTTTTTTTGTATTTGTATTTGTATAACAATATAAGTAATAATTTTTAATATTTTTTATTTAAAAAAAGAGACCAAACATAGTTATTATTGTATATTGATTTTATTTAATGTTATTTTTCAGTATTTTTTTAAATATTACATATACTTGAAAAATAACATATTATATGATGGATTTTATTATTTTCTTCGTAAAGGTGAATCAGGAGCTTAGTTAAAGAAAAACAAAATGATCAATAATTAAAGAAGAATATTTATATAATCACTAGTTTTTGTTGAATAAAATTAATGAAGATTTGATTTGATATGTCAAATCAAATAAGCGATACAAAGCCGACAACCGATGAAGATTTATAATGATTATTTTTTGTTAAATAAAATTGGGATTTATAATATTATTTTTTGTTAAATAAAATTGGGAGTGATAGATTTATCCTTGTGATTGGCACAACGTCATTTTTTTTTCATACAACTTTGATCAAAACTCTTACATTTTTCTCTTAAGCCAATGTAGAAAGGCGTTTTTGCACTTAGACAAAATTAGTAATTATTTATAAAACAAATTACACAAATATTCCTTATAGTTTGATCTTTAATTTTTTCTTTTTCTTTTTTAAACTCAAATGGTCATTTGTGGTTTGTTTTTGTTGTGTCATTTGTCCTATCCATATATGGTTATTGACATAAAAACCCCAAATTTTACACAAAATGTTTGGTTTTGTTCCATGTCCATTTTTTGGTGTGTTAATCCCCTAACAAACCGGAAAATTGGTTTACTTTTGCCTTTTCTTAGTTTTTACCTCTTATAGCAGGTCACCAAACCATTCATCACTATCATCATCACACTACCATCATCGCTATCGTCCCACTACCATCCCACCACCATCAACCACCATTTAACGCCAACTTCATTCGAGTAGAAAGTAGAAACACATCTCCTTTGTAGCTATTTCACTCTAGATATTTGAAGTAAAGCAAACAAATGTAACTAAATGGCTTCATAATAGGAGAGTGTGGAGGTGCTTTTCTTTCAGGCATTTCATCGAGCACCTTCAGTGCACTGTTCTTCTCCTCCTTTTTCTAACCCCGTTTAGGTACCATGACTGAACACATAACTTCATAATAGGCACAATCAAAGACTCTTTGACTACTTGAAAGCATATGCAAATTCAAGACCATTCAAACCAAACAAAGTGCAATCAAAAAGTACTTTAAGGACATTAGAGTTGTAACAGGGGCAACTCCAAAAGCTGGGTTTGATTTTTGCGATTTAAAATAAGTAACGAACTGATAATCGGTTAATAATATTGTAACTAAAGTCGATTATAAGTAGAAACAAGGGAGACGAGAGTTACAGATTAAAAAACTTCTTTGTGATAGTGATGAAATCAAATTGTGTAGTCGAATAGGAGGTTTAAAGCTGAGAAATTATCATTTTCCTTTGTAGACTTGTTTGGATTGTTTAATCGGTGATAGTATCTGATGACGATTTGTGTCTTTGAACATGTACAAAAACATTTGGGAATAAGGAGCCTGTGATTTCTCTTAAACTAGAGTTATGCTCAAAACGCTAGTTAAGGAAGTTGCTAACACACCAGGAGCTTGAAGATGAAAAGAAATCACACCCCTTCTTTAATCGAGCACTAAACCCTACCTCTTTTTGCCCCTTGGGTTCAAAGTTTGCTTTGATTCATGTTTTAGAGAGTAGAGAGGTGAATGAGATGGTGATGAACAATCAGTGGAAGAATGAAGAAGAAGGTATGGGGAAGAAAAGAAGAAGAAGAAGAAGGTTGAAAATAAGAGGTCTGGGAAGTAGGGGTGAGCAAAAACCGAACCGACTAAAGAAAAACCGACAAAACCGCAACCGAAAAACCGAAACCGATGCAAAAACCAATGGTGCGGATTTAATTTTTGCAAAAACCGAAGGTCAACGGTGCGGTGCGGTTTCTATCCTAAAAACCAGTCCATCAAAACCGAACCGCACCGCAAGCGTGTATAGTAATAAATCAATCAATGTATATTATATACATTCTATTGAAAATAGTTATAAACGATAATATATGTATTATATGTTTATTTTGTGTTTGTATAAAACTATATGGGGTGCAAAAGAAATGTTCTATTGTTAGCCAAACGTAACAATCGATTACATGTAATAAGCTTGTAACAAATTAACTCAAAATCAACCAACCTTCAATCATTAATTAGTTTGTGAGAGTGGTCACAAGTTGTATTTTAAGCGACTTACAATTTTTGATTATGTAATTTTGTTTTGAGCTGAAAATGAATGTATTAAAAAAAACAGCACAATACAAGCTTATATGCACATGGTTTTCAGTTCTTACAGTTTTAAAAAACCGCACAAAAAAACATAAAAAAGAACTGCACCAAATTCTTAACACGGTTTAAAAACCGAAACTGCACCGATACAAACCGAAACCGCATTTAAAAACCGAAAAACCGAACCATTGCAAAACCACACCCAACGGTTTTAAGAATGCAAAAACCGCACCATGCGGTTTGCGGTTCGGTTTGGTCTGAAAACCGCACCAAACCACACCATGCTCACCCCTACTGGGAGGAAAGGAACGGTGGGTGGGGAATGAAACCGGCTTTTAGAAGTAAAAATCAGGTAAGGGCAAAAAGTGAACCAATTTTGAGGTTTGTTAGGGTATTAACACACCAGAAAATGGACATGGGACAAAACCAAACATTTTATGTAAAATTTGTGGCTTTTATATCAATAACCCATCCATATATACAAACATTATTTTATTTTTAACATTTTATTTTTTTTCTATTTATTTATTGTTTATTTGGTATTAACAAATAACTATAGAAATAAGAACGAGATAATGACTTAAAAGAGTAATATATTTTTCGATTTGTATATATTTGATCACTAAGTTTTTTTTTTCGTCCACATTTACCATTTTAACTTGTTAAACTGTACACACACAGTCCTTATGACCGGTTACTCCAGGTTAGCCGGGAAAAATGTCTTATTAAGATAATATATTTCTCATTTTATACACATTTAATCCTTAATATTTTTGTACACATTTAGTCCTTAATATTTTTTTTTTGTTTCAAAATAAGTTATTTTTTGTTTTTGTACAAATTCAATAATTATGAATGATTTATTTAAGGTTTTTCTCACGACATCTAACATGAGACTATCATTGATGACAGAGACGGTTCTCTTTGAGTGCCCGCAGTGGCACCGACAACCCCTGCTTTTTCTATACGCAGTGTAAATTTTTCGATATTTTTCGATTTTTTTTCTTTTTTCTACTTACCCATAACACCTACTACAGACTGGCAACACCTACTACCAAATCATGTGCCCGTCTCTGATTGATGAGGTGTTTGGGGTTCTTGATGCTTATATCCATCACAGTCTCGACCGATTGGTTGTATAGGTCTTGTGGTTTGGCTTAGATTTTGTATTCTGAACATCGTAACTTCTTCATACGATATCTGATTTTAACGATCTTTATATCTATGTGTTCGTTTTTTAAATTTGCTATAACTTTCGTTCAGATTACTCCCGTTAAAATATAATATGTTTTTACTTACGATTTTATGAAAGAAAAAAAAAAACATCCATACATGCATTCATAAAAAACGTATGGATATAAAGATCGTAATTAAAAAATATATTACTTTTTAACAGGAGTAATATAAACGAAAGTTGTAGTAGACTAAAATACAAACGCATAGATATAAAGATCGTTAAAATCCGAGATAGTATTAAAAAATTATGACGTTCAAAACACATGACCTAAGCAACCAAGTAGTCGAGATCACGATGGACATAAGCATCAAAAGTCTAAAACACATCGTTAATGATTGTTCTATGTAAGATGTTGTGAGAAAAACTTAAAAAAAAAATTAAAAAAAAATAAATAAATAAATAAATAAATCATAAGTATTAAATGAGTACACAAACAAAAATAAATTATTTTGCAACAAAAAAAATTAAGGACTAAATGTGTACAAAAATATTAAGGACTAAATGTGTACAAAATGAGAAATATATTACCCTATTAAGATATTTTTACCGGTTAACCTGAAATAACCGGTCATAATGATTGAATGTGTACAGTTTAACAAGTTGAAAAGGTAAATGTGAACAAAAAATAAACTCAGTGACCAAATGTGTACAAATCAAAGAATATATTACCCTTTTAAGTCATTATCTCAATAAGAATCAACTCATTACTTTTTATTTTCTAGATCCTATGAATCAGTCAAGATATAATATATTGTTCATATTGTTGTAGCAATTGAAATCTTTTTTATTATCTATTAAAAAATATGCTTTTAAGTTGTAAATCAAAACAAAAAAGAAGGAATATGGACAAATGGAAAGATGGGAGAAACAAAGAAAAAAAATTGATGATATAGAATTCCATTATCTAAGGTATATAAGTAATAGAAAAAAGCTTTGATGACCAATTTAAACCAAATATTCATTGAAAGAAAATATGATTATGATATAAATGCACCAAACGAGAATTTTAAGAAAAATATCTTTGAGATCTCTTCCTTTTTTTTTTAATTATCTAATATAATATCAATATTGTAATCTAAAAAACCCTGCAAAATATCAAAGAAGTAAGAAGGTGGCGGCGGCAGTGGTCATGATAATAACCAAAAGTGAAAAAAAAAAAAAAAAAAACATCCCCATTCTAAATCAGCATTTGAAAATAGGTTTCTTTCCTAATTTGAACCACCATCAGAAAACAACACGAAGAGGCATAAAATTTATAGTATTACATTTGTGAGATGATGTGGCAACCAAGTCACTAGTGAAGCGCCATTTCCTAGAGAGAGTAAGTGTGTAGTGGTGTGAGTAGCTTTACATCCGACAACAAAAGAGATAGAAGACTTCTCTCACTATCTCTCTCTTCCCTGTATTCTTCCAAGTCACTAGCAAGTGACTAGTGAACACTATTTCCTGTTGGCAGAGTGGTGTTGGAGATGATGGGATCATCTTTAGCATGTGAAACACTTTGTATACATGTGATGGATTTTGAAATTACAAGATTGACCGTTATAAAATTTTGAAAATTAAAATAAATTTATGATGTTTATACCAGTAACCAAATCTGTAATTGACTGTGAAATTTACGGTTTGCTATACAAAAGATCAATAATTGTGAACTAAGATGATGAAAATTAAATAAAAAATGTTGTTAATGGAGCTCTATTAGGATATTTTGGCCTTTGTGTCTCTTTTACTTTTACTTGTGGTTTTCTCCTTCAAGAAAGCATAGGGTGTTAGGAGGGCAAAGTAACAGCTACATGTAGTTTACTTTTACTTATAATAACAATAAAGGTTTTTTTTTCATAAACACTTAAGTTCTCAAGGCCGCTCTAATAGAACGAATCGTTATTAGTTATTAGGAAAATATGTTACATGTAATGATTACGATATTTTACACCATCACTATTTTATTTTTATTTATAATTATAATATTTTATTTTGTTTTTTCATTTCTTACGAGCTTGAACTAAATCCTCTATAAAACTGAAAACCCTTCAACACATAAAGTGTGTGATGGTAAATTAGGAGAAAACGAGGTGATGCAAAGAGAAAGGGGAAGAATTTGAGTCAGTGGACTATATACATAACTTTTGACATAACACAGGGACCAAACCTGTAACTTACTCTAGAAAAATATATTTGATGTTGGAACCCCTTTTTGCAAAGTGGATTTCCAATACCAGGCAGGTAGTTTCCCCATGGTAATATATATACTTCAACAGTCGATCTCTCTACTCTGATCGATGCGGATGCCTATGGTATTAATCAAGCTATCGATCATCTTCTTCCATGGCTACCTCTCAACCGAGTTTTAGTTATGATGTTTTTTTAAGTTTCCGGGGTGCCGACACTCGCAAGGGAATCACAGATCATCTCTATACAGCCTTGAAGCAAGCATGTATCCGTACTTTCCGGGATGATGATGGAATGGAGAGAGGAAAGCTGCTGAAGCCAGAGCTAAATAAAGCCATCCAAGAGTCTGCAATTTCAGTCATTGTCTTCTCAGAAGGCTTTGCATTCTCCAAGTGGTGTCTCGATGAGGTTATGATGATTATGTACGAACATGAGACTTCATCCTCTAGACATGAAGTGGTACCCGTGTTCTATAATGTGGACCCATCTGATGTTCGAAATCAAACAGGAAGCTTTGCAGAAGCATTTTATGTGTATGATTATGAAGTCAACGCAGAAACAAACCTTGAAAAGAAAAGAGAATTGTTGGAGAAGGTGGGGACATGGAGGGATTCACTTAAAAAAGCTGCAACCTTCACAGGAATAGTACTTACCCATGGGTATGTATGCTTCCTCTTATTTTATCCACTGTCGTGTTACTTAGGATTAATTGCTTTAACTAAATCCTTTTAGGTATGAGGCCAAATTCATAATCGACATTGTGAATGTTATAAAAAAGAAATTGGACTACAAGACCCTATACGTTGAGGAGAAACTATTGGGAATAAAGGAGAATGTTGAGGAGATTGAATCATGGTTACAAGATCCGTCACCTGATGAAGTCATCCTTCTGATTGATGGGATGGGAGGCATTGGGAAAACAACCATAGCCAAATGCATATATAACTCAAACTCACGTTACTATAATCGTAGTTGCTTTCTTGCAAATATTAACGAGACATCAAATCAACCGGGTGGATTGCTTCGCTTGCAAAGTCAGCTTCTTTCCACAATTTTAAATAGTGGAAAGGAGGAAACTATATGGAATGTTGATGAAGGAACCAAAAAGGTTGCAGATGCCATAAGCAACAAAGAGGTGCTTCTAATCCTTGATGATGTTACAACATTGCAACAGATAGATGCATTACTAGGACCACAGAGGTTTTACCCTGGAAGTAAAGTGATCATAACAACCAGGCATAAGTGGTTGAAAACTGGTTTCAAAGTTCATCCTAAGATCCAGTCTGTTAGAACCTTATCTGCGGGTGATGCTATCGGGCTTTTTAGTTTCTATGCATTTCATCAAGATCAACCCACTGAACCCTATGTTATCCAATCACAACTATTTGTTAATCGCTGTAAGGGTCTTCCTTTGGCTCTTAAAGTATTGGTTCTCTACATGGACATACAGATGATGTATGGGAAGATACAATGCGCAAACTGGAAGCAATTCCCAATCCTGAGATTCAGAGAGTTCTACAAATAAGCTACGAAACATTGGCGGATGAGAATGATAAAGATTTATTCTTGCATGTTGCTTGTTTCTTTGAGGGTGAGGAAAAAGACTACATTGTGAAATTATTGGGCCAATGTGACCTATACCCTGTAGTTGGGATCAGGAATCTAACAGATAGATGTCTACTGTATGTTGAATATGGGAGAGTGAAGATGCATCGATTAATCAAGGAGATGGGACGAGAAGTTGTTCGCCAGGAATCACCAAAGAATCCTGGGAAAAGAAGTAGACTGTGGCATCATCACGACTGTTTTAACGTGTTGAAGGACCATGTTGTATGTTTATTTTACACATCCCTTTTGTATAATATAATTTGGTGTGTATGTGTTGAGCCATAGGCCATAGCTTACCTTTTTTGAATTTCATAATTAGGGTACAGATAAGGTAGAAGGATTCATGCTTGATATGCAAAAGATCAAGGAAGGTAAACCATCTTTACCTATAAAGACGAATAATCCAGGGAAACGCAGTTTTCAAGAATATCTTGGCAAAACAATGCATGGAGAAGAAGCAGATTTCAAAATTGGTGCACTGGAAACTATGAAGAACCTAATGCTACTTCAACTAAACCATGTAACATTTTCTGGGAAATGCAAGAATTTGCCCAAAAAGCTACGATTGTTGAGTTGGCCAGGATTTTCTCTAAAAGCTATACCATGCGACATTTCTTTAGAAAAGTTGGTGGTTCTTGACATGAGTTACAGCAAATTGAAGCGCGTTTGGGATGACTTCAAGGTATGTGTTATTATTTTGATTATTGATTATCATTTTAGGATTTGCTTATATGACAAGGGATTTTCATGTCACAGTTTATTGGAACGTTAAAAATCCTTAATCTTAGCTATTCAGTTGAGCTAATCAAAACCCCTGACTTTGGTGGGCTCCCTGGTCTGGAGAGTTTGATCCTGAAAGGTTGTGTACGTTTAAAGAAGGTTGAGGAATCAATTGCATACCTGAAAGAACTAGTCTTGTTAGATCTAACCAATTGTAGAAGCTTAGGAGAGTTCCCATGTTTACCTAGCTCCCTAGTATCACTTCGAATGTCTGGTTGCCAAAACCTTGGTGTTCTTAAACGAGTTCAATGCTTGGAATCAGTTTCGTCATTTCCGGTTTTGCAGGATGTGAATTTATCATATTGCAATCTCTTGGATAATTCTTTCCCAAATGATTGGAGTAGTCTGGTCTCACTTGTGAATGTGAATATAGATGGCAACAATGTAACTTCCTTACCAAAATGTATCCAAACCCTACCTGAAATTCTAACGCTTAGTGTTGAAAGGTGTTCAAAAATCCAATCAATTTTAAGTCTCCCAACATCCGTCTTTGCATTGTATATCAGCCACAATGAGTCCTTGCAGAAAGTGAATCTTTCACAAAATTCAGGGATCGTAGTGTCCCATGTAAACTGTAAAAATCTGTATCACATGGAGGGTCGTTACAACCTTCAATCAATCAATAAAGTTGACATGAAAATTATACGATATCTGGGGTTAGAACCAAATGCATTTCAAGGAATGGAGTTGGGTATTCAGGTTCTTTCTTTTTCTCTTTCTCTATCTTATTTGTTTTTATAGGCTAATGCTGATATTGATAATCAAACTAAATAATGATAAATGGTGTCACACTCACAGGTGTTACATGAATTTGGTATATTCAGCACATATGTTCCAGAAAAACAGATCCCTCCGTGCTTCATGTATAAAGAAAAGGGCCAACAAATTTCATTTAAGGTTCCTTGGCATCATAATAATTCGAGAATAAGTGGCTTAAATATGTGTGTCGTGGTTTCTCGATCAAGAAGATATGTTTCATTTGTGATTCATTTATATAACAGGACTAAAGATTTGTTGTGGAAATACATGAAAGGAAATCAAGAAATCCCAAAGAATGTGGAAAAGTTTGCATGGTTAAGCCTTTGGAGGTGTGGCAATATGTTGGAGGGTGGGAATGAAATCGATATACACATCACTTATCATCAAGGGTTAGTAGAGGAATGTTGTATAAACCTGTTATATGAAGAGGATGAACAGCTTGATGGTGAACAAAAGGAGGCTCGTAATCATGGCAATATGTTTGATCAGATTTTGTGGACTGATAGAATGGAATTGGATATATCAGATTATGTTTATAGTGGGAAGCAGCATTCATTTATGAGTGAAAACCAGGATAATGATATTATATTACCATAGAACTAGAAGATGGCTATTGTACCATAGAAGACATCGTCAGTTTATTTTCAAATAGATATTCATTTACATTGTAGGTTTATCCAGTCATAACTTTCTTGTCATAGTTTAGTTGAAGTGCATGTTTGGCACCATTTGTTTACCTTGTTCAAATGGATGATGTATATTTATAGATTCAGTACTTATTAGGGAATGCATCTTTCTTAAGGGTATATGTTTGACAAAAAGTAAAAATACCTGGTAGCTGGAGCTTTTATCGTGTAAAAGTTTTGGCAAAAGCAGTTGTAAGAAGGTATAAAATTTACATAAAAGCTCACAGCTTTGCATAGATCATCATTCATTGGCTCAAGTTTAGATTGATGGTTTGCGATTGCTTCTCTGGAACTCAAAGCATCTACGAAATCTTCTTTGACCTCATGACCTGTAATGGCAATAGGTATTAGAATCATAAAAACTCATTATGTGTTTTCTAGTTTTTTCAGAAAGAAAGGAAGAGAGAGAGAGGAAAAATAACTGTAGCACCAAGATGGCTATATAACTCCAGATGCTCATTACAAGTTTACAACAGAAACAAGATTTTATTAAATCCCCTTTTCTTTCACCTTTAGGAGTGAAATTAATCTTCCTTGAGGTTTCCACGGGCATTTACTAAAGAATACAAACTTTATAACAAGTAATGTAATGACTCTACTACGCCACATTGGAGGTACTTAGAGCAAAAAGGAGCATGACTACCTTGGCCCTAGGTCATTAGTAAAAATCAAAACAAAAATGCACATACTCTTTGAATTTGTTAAGTACTGGCACTAGGTCAGACCATCAAAATTCTCTCTTCTCTTTTGGTAACGACAGTAACACACAAAATCGTATCAAGGCATCGCGAATCGATAAATTAGCTTGAAGGAATACTCGTGAAGTAAAAGAGAAAAGAAAGTATTATCGGTTGCCGGCACTGGTAAGTGCAAAGCATCTGATCGAAATGTTGGTGCGGGGGTTCCGGCACCGGCAGGTCCTCGAAGATCACCAAATGGCCATTAGAGTTAGGGCTATCCAAGTTGCCGGTCATTTCGGGACTTCGTTTCTTAGGTAGACGCTCATTTTGACTCCTGTTATGAACCCTAGATTCGAAGACAATAATAGAACAATGTATATGAATAGAGAGCATCAATAATAACACATGTAGTAACTATTTTCTTTTATTACACATAACAACATTCTTGAAAATGTTTACTAATGGTTATTATGACCTGTTGTAGCAGGTTACATCCCGCTATAATAGATCATAATGGTTACATGTAAGCACACAAGTTCGTTACCTAGATGTGTAGAAAAGAAAAATAGTTACCTAAATATGAATAAAACCAAAAGTAAAAATAAATTACACAAATGGTCTCTGGGGGAATTTATGTGTTTGATCCCTATTTATTTTTTTAATTCGGATGGTCCTACTGTTTAGTTTTGTTGCATTTGGTCTCTGTCTTATCTAAAAAGACTAGTGTGTCCTTATTAATTTAATTTTTTTAATTAAATTTCTTATTTATATATATTTTTTATATGTTTAAAAAAATTAATAGATCCTACATATCTGTATCTCCTTACCATCTCATCTTTTATCATCCCCAACTTCTATTTCTTTTCCATCTTTAATGACATCGAAGTCTTCACCATCTATTCTTTTTCGGTCCTTCAACTCCAGCGAACCAACACCACAACCCAATAAAGTGAAGAGACAGTGGGTTATGGTGTTTGTTTGCCAGAGTTGAAAGACCCAAAAAAAAAAGATGGTGAAGACTTCCATATCACTACAGATTGAAATAAAATAAAGGTTGAAGAGGATGTGAGATGAGATGGTAACCGGTGGGACCCAGATTAAATTTTTCAAATGTAGTTTTAGGTTTACGGTGATGACATACAAATATATGGGGTCTGTTAATTTTTTTTAAACATATAAAAACAAAAACATAAATAAGAAAATTAATTAAAAAAATAAATTAATAAGGGCATAATAGTCTTTTTAGGTAAGACAGTGACTAAGCGCGCAACAAAAATAAACAGTAGGGACCATCCGAGTTAACAAAATAAGTTAAGGACCAAATGCACAAATTCCCCCAAACCATAGGGACCATTCATGTAATTTACTCTTACTTTTTGGTTTTGTTCATATTTAGGTAACTATTTTTTTTTACACATCTAGGTAACGAATTTGATGAAAGTGTTCACATATAACCATTATGACCTACTGTAGCTGGATGTAACCTGTTACAGCAGGTCATAATGGTCATATATGAACAGTTCCAAATATTTTTTTACCTAAATGTGTACAAAAAAAAAAAAAAAAAAAAAAAAGATAGTTAACTATATATGAACAAACTGAAAAGTTAATTACCTTAACAAGTCATATTCCCTTCTTTTAAAACATTTTTAGCCTTTTAGAAAGTAAAAGATGTTTGGTAAAAACGATAGATCTTGTAAAAGCTATTTTTGATCAAGTATGGATGCGTGAATTGTGATTAGGAGAAGAGGTTAGGGGGTGTTTGTTCTTTTAAAACATTTTTAGCTTTTAGAAAGTAAAATATGTTTAGTAAAAGCAATAGATCTTGTAAAAGCTTTGATCAAGTATGGATGCGTGAATTGTGATTAGGATAAGAGGTTAAGGGGTGTTTGTTCTTTTAAAACATTTTTAGCTTTTAGAAAGTAAAAGATGTTTGGTAAAAGCAATAGATCTTGTAAAAGCTATTTTTAAATAAAAGGAAAATGAACTTTTTGGAAAAATCTGGTAAACCTGACTTTTCACAACTTTTTCTAAAAGGACTTTTGTCCTCTTAAAAGCTAAGTCAAATACCCCCTTAATCTGGAATGCAATGCGCCACATTCTTGTTGCTTTTGTGATATGTATTCGGATCAGTGCATAACTTGTTGGTATTGTTCTGGACTTCTAGGGGTCAGCAAGAAATGGGTAAAACGAGGGTCGAGGGTGTTACCTTTGCTTTTGACTATAGTTTTATCTATTTCGTTTTCACCATGTAATTTGGACTGACCCAATATATGAACAGTTTTTAAGTGAAAAAAGAAAAAAAATTATGTCTTTGTTTTTTAATTTAGATAAAATTGCAAGAATAATTCGTGAACATTGTCATTTTGGATCAAATAGGTTTGGACTAGCGCCAATCAATGGTCTAAAATATTTCATTTTGTTGGGAGTTTGCTTCATTTTGTTTGGTTTAAATTTTGACAAAATTGCAAGATTGGTCCCTATGGTATGTCAAAACTTTCATGTTTAGACTAAAAAAAGTATGAACTAGCACCGATAGTCCAAATTTTTCATTTTCTTGCAAGTTTAATCCAATTTAGTTTGAACCTTTTTTGTAAATACGATTTTTCCCTTAGTATTTAATTTTCCATTTTTATTTATTATCAACAATAAAAAAAAGACTAATTAATAATCTAGCCAAATTAAGGAAGTAATTAACAATTTTTAGTAAAAAAATAGGAATTGTCCCAAAATAGCCCACGAAACCGTAGGTTTTTAGATTCGTCTACTGTTTCGTGTTCTGTATTAAAAAAATCATTTTGAAGATATAAAATCGTAGGTTTTTTTTAGACCTGCGATTTTCTCTCTATAATCTACGGTTTCCAAACCGTAGCCTACGATTTTTGGCTAAAAAACTATGGGTTTTTTTTTTAAACTACGGTTTTGGGTTGAAAACTATGGTTTTTGGTAAAAGAAAAAAACCTACGGTTTTTTTTAATAATAAAGAGTATTTTTTTGAGAAAACTATTTTATTCTATTAATTATTAAAAAACTATTTTATATTTTACAAAAAAATATTTTTTCAACAAAATAATTGTCAAAAAACAACTCTACATTTTATAAACAATATTTTTAATCAAAATAATTCTAAAAAAAATACTCTCTATTTAAAAAATAATAAAAAATAAATAAATAATTGTAGTTTTTAGCCCAAAATGTAGACTATACCCCCAAAACCATAGTTCAAAAAAAACCCTTAGATTTTACCCAAGCCGTAGGCTACGGTTTGGGAAACAGTAAATGATACAGAGAAAACCGTAGGTTTTAAAATAACATACGGTTTTATTTCTTCAAAATAAATTTTTTTATACAAAGTACGAAACAGTAAACGAAAAATGAGTCTTCAAGATATGGAGGCATTATCTTTATGGCACAAAGTGCAAATTTTCCACTGATCATAAGAATCTTCATTATCTATTTAATCAGAAAGGATTGAATATCAGACAACGACGCTGACTAGAGTTGCTTAAGGATTACGACTATGAAATACTTTACCACCCTAGTAAAGCAAATGTTGTAGTTGATACTTTAAGCAGAAAAATGAGCCTTGAAAGGAAAAGGCCAAGAGCATTAAGAATTGAAGTTGTCTCAACGATTGTAGAAAGCATCAAGAAAGCTCAAGAAGAAGCTTTAGAGAAAAATGACTGAAAAGAAGAATGTTTGGGCAAAACGTTAGTGTTCGATATAAACAGTCAAGGACTAAAGGTATTCCAAGATAGGATTTGGGTACCTAAAACGGGAGGAATAAGAGATCTTATGATGGAGGAAGCTCACAATATCATGTACTCGTTTCATCCTGACAGCACGAAAATTTATAGGGATCTAAAACCCTACTACTGGTGGCCGACGATGAAGCTTGATGTTGCGAAGTATGTGGCCGAGTGTGTGACATGTGCGAGAGTTAAGGCACAACATCAGAAACTGTATGGGAGTTTAGAACCTTTACCTATACCCATGGGTAAATGGTAAGACATCACCATGGATTTTGTGACTAAACTGTCCAAAACGAAGAACGGTCACGACATGATTTGGGTGGTCGTTGATCGATTTACTAAAAGTGCACACTTCGTAGCAGCCAATGAAAAATGATCTATGGATAAACTTGCAAATGCTTACGTGAAGGAGATAGTAAGACTTCATAGTGTTCCGTTAACGATTGTATCAGATCGTGATAGTCATTTCATGTCAAGGTTTTGGAGAAGTCTACAAGAGGAATTGGGTACAAAATTGTGTTTAAGTACAACTTACCATCCGCAAATCGATGGTCAGAGCGAACGAACGATTCAAACATTGGAGGATATGCTAAGGGCATATACCCTGGAATTCCAAGGTAACTGGGATGAACATTTACCTCTGGTAGAATTTTCCTACAATAATAGTTTCCACTCGCGCATCAACATGGCACCTTATCACACTTTGTATGGAAAAAAGTGTCGAACGCCGTCATGTTGGCTTAAAGCTGAAAAAAAGTTGTTTATGGGACCTAAGATAGTTCATCAGACTGCTGAAAAGCTGAAAGTGATTAGGGAAAGGATGTTAGAAGCTCAGGATCGTCAAAAGAGCTATGCTGACAATAAAAGACAACCGATAACATTCGAAGTTGGAGATTCGGTTTTACTTAAAGTCTCACTGTGGAAGGGACTTATAAGATTTGGTAAAAGAGGAAAGTTGAGTTCAAGGTTTATTGGACCGTTTAATATTCTTCAGAAGATTAGGAAGCAAGCTTACAAGCTAGAACTACCAGAAGAACTAGATGGTATTCATAACACTTTCCACTTGTGTTATTTGAGGAAGTTCACTGGAGAAGTTCCCGACATAATTCCAATTTATGAATTAAGGTTGGATGAAAGCAAGAGGTTAATTGAAGAACCTGAAGCAATTATTGACTGTAAGACTGAGAAGTTGCGACGCAAGATGGTCGATTTAGTGATTGTGCGATGGAAACATATGAATGGGTCAAATCTCACCTGGGAAACGGAGAGTGACATGATGAGTCGCTATCCACATTTGTTTGTTGATGTATGATTCTGGGGACGGAATCATCTTAAGGGGGAGAAAATTGTAACGCCCGTGTTTCTGGGCTAAAACATTAAAGATGATGTAATAGTCTAGGTCAACCTTTGTAACTTGTTTTGAAGTAATAAAGATGTATTATTTGAGTATTATGTGTTTATACTTAATTATTATGATTTAATAAATTAAGGATAAAAATAAGCGTCGAAAATAAATGTTAGATAAACCCAATATTTTGAAGA